TCGTCGATACCTTTCTAATGATATATACATTTGTATATATATGTGTACGTATATATGATTTATACTATATTTTAATACGTAAATATGCCATTATAATTTGTAACTCGTTCATACGAACTCCATTTTTGACGTTCTTTATATCCACGCGTTGGTATTTACGAGTACTACAAATTTCATTTAGACGCCGTCAGCTAATTCTCATTCAATCTCAGATTTACAAAACTATATCGAATTTATCGCGCTCGAAGAGTAGGGACCAAGTTTCGTCCATATCTTTAACATACGAGCTCTACTCTCGACATTCTTTATATCCACGCGTAGGTAAAAACAAGATCTAAAACTTTCATTTAGACTCCGTCGGCTAATTCTCTACCGATCTTAAATTTAACAGTAGGAGGAGATTATATTGTTAAATGTCCGCGTAAAATTCATAACTTCTACATACGCACTCCGTTTTCGTCTGTCTTTTTATTGTTGAGTTCCTATTAATGATATCTTCAACTCTCATTTAGGTCGCGTAGGCCAAAAACCGCTCGAACTAAAATTCGAGTTTCGGGCCGTGGACTGCTATGCCAAATCTTAGAAAATTCATAACTTCCTCATACGAAGTCAGATTTTAACGTTCTTTTTTTGTATGTTCTCGGTTTAACGTATACTACAACTTTTGTTTAGATTACTAAGGCTAAAAAGTCTTCTATCATAAATTCACTATTTACGTCTCCCGGTGTCGTGCCGGTTTTGCCGAAAAACTTCGACGGGCCATAACTTCTTCGTTATAACTCGGATTTCGGCGTTCTTTATATGTACGGAACCCTTGTAACATATACTATGACTTGGTTAAGATTATTCATTATAAATAATCTTCTATTAAAAAGTCATTTTTTACGCTTATCGTCTCTAAATTGACTAGCCCGAATCTACGGGCGTTACACTATGTATCCATCCTATAATTAATAACACATGTTTATATTTTAACGTGTTTTTATCTAGTGTTTATAAAACTATATGATTATCTAGTTTGCTCATAAGTAAGGACTTACTAATTCTTAAAGGTGGATTCTGGATTCACAAACCCATTAACATTTTTGGATTTAACTCATGGTGACAAACTTTAGTCGACATAGAAAACCATATCGGAATGAAGATGAACATAAAGGAAAAGATAGTTAGGTTCCATGGTGATAAACAGGAGAAACCCCATTTTTGCCATCTCTTACTGTACCAACTCAGATCTCACTGAACTCATACCGTACTCCATCTCTCACCTTTCTTCACCATTGCTAAATGCTTCGCTGACAGCGACACCGCCACCTTCTTCTTCTGCTTTGCCAAAAGGCGTTGTAGGGTTAGGGAAGAAGAAGCAGAGAGTTACATGAAAATATTCAAAGAGTACAACACAAAATAGGATTCGATTTATGACAGTGTGTGAGAGCTATGTGGCAATAAAGGTGGGACACGGCATGCCATGTCACCTGTATTACCGGATGTTTGCTGGATGTTTGCTTCATATCTTGCAAAATGGTGTAATTGACATGAAATTTGAAACTTTAAGAACTAATTGCGTAAAAAATTAACTTCAGTGACCAATCCGAGACAAAGCTAAAACTTTGTTGCGCTACAATGTCATTTCCCTAACAAAAAAATATACATTGTGTTAACTTACAAATAATGGTTTATATGTTAATTAACCATCATGATTGAAATTAAAAAAATCAATAAATAAGTAATTTCTAAATTAATCAATCATAACATTAAATTATAATATTAAATCGAAAATCATGTTTAATTTTATTTAAACGCAGACCACAAATAAATAATGTTGAATGTTATGCTTGTTGAACGGTATGCTTTTATTAGATATATATTTTATAATATAATTTAAA